TACAGCAGCAAGTGCATAATCCAGTTGGCCACTCTTGGGTAGAATCATAATCAACTTTGAACAGGAACTGTTCAAAAATGAAGAATCAACAAAATCTTTATCACTTCCACTAATTTAGTTCATCTGTGGGCCTCGCTGGGATCTCTCAACTCCTTCTTGCCATCTGTCAATCTCCTCCCTTTATAAAGAGGCTACATATTCCAACACTGTCCCAAACAGGGAAAAAAAATGAGGCAATCAGAAAAATGCTTTAAATTGCTTCAGTGTTTGAGATATTTTACTGTGATCATTTAAAATCAAAGCATGCTATGCATTATCCTATACTCAGCTTCCTCCCACTTGCTTCCAGACCCATATGCTTCTGTTAATTTGATTTGTTAAAGATAATAGGAGGAGTTAGGTCAACCCCAAATAATTGTACTAACCCAGGATGTTCAATTAATGCAACTGCTCTGTCACCGTGCTTCAGCTCTAGTTCAGCAAATGTCAGCCTGGGAAACAAAACCATGACTGTATCAGGAATGACCCACATTCAGTGACACATCCACATACTGAGGCACTGCTTTCTGACATGATCTAACTCAACTACATCTACAGCATCAGTTACCACGAAGTTAGACAGGACACAGGAGCTTCCCTTCAAAGAGAAGTTAATGAAGAGGAGAAATAGCCCTACGTACACCCCAGAAGTGCAGCTGTAGTACATCTCCTTCAGCTACGTGGAGTTACTCTACAAGTTGGTCAGTTGAGATGGAAGGATGGCTGGGTATAATAAAAATAATGTCATATTCAAGGGATGTTGCAGATGAATCATTTATTGTCTAACAGCAAACGAATAGTGTGGGCAATTTTCTACTAGTATTTAATTCTAAATTAAGTGTTTGCTCAGCCGTATGGGCTCCCTGTATTCACAGAGTGGCCATATGGGCACTGTATTCCCAGCTGCACTTGCCAGCATGTTCCATTTGTGTTGTGTCGGGTTACACGGCTCCCATCACTGGATAAAAGCAACGCCTTGTGCATACGGTGTCATCCGTATTTAGAGGACTAGATCTCAAGTATTTATGTTTGCACTGTTCACAATTTGAAATTTCATTGAAAAAATAAACCCCCACCTCAAAGAAAAGGTTAGCGCACTGCTACTGCTGATATCTTTATGGACTTTACATAAGTGTACAGATACTTCTGTTCTGGAGGAAAAAATGAAACATTTTTATGTACAGAAATATACAGTTTATCAAAAGAATACGTATTTGGATAAGAAAAATTTATTCAACATTCTTTGCCAGAAGTAACATCTTTTGCCTCCCCCAAAAATTCAAAACAGAAATGCTTATGTGAATGCAGGGTCTGTAGTCATCAGTCACCTCAGCAGTTCCCACTGTAGTAAGTCACTGCAGTACTCACAAAGCCTGCAGGACTAGACTCACAATGTCAAATTGAAAATAATACCACCAGAGAAGTTCATCAACCATATATTGTTTTAGGAGCTGGGCTAAGGGGAGTGATTCATTCCTCTAATAAGAGCAATATTGCAATATATCCCGTCTCTGCCAGAGACCTGGTTCAATTAGATTAAGAACATAAAAAGAGAAGGATTCATGAGAGCGAGAAACAGCAGATAAAACAGACATGTCTTGGAACAACTAAGGGAGCTCTGAGAATGTTCTAGATAAATGGGCTGTCTTGTAATAAAAAGATCACTCCTCAAGTACAAAGGGAGAGTATAAGTGAGTACTTTCTATCTGACATCACCAATAGCCCATTAAATTCCTATTAAGCAAAGCAAGACCAAATATTAGTGCTCATACTGAGTGGTGCCATAGGAAGAGTCAATCTGCTCAGACACAAGCTGACTTCTATAGCTAAACTTTTAAAAATCTACTAAAAAACTCTGTTCAACTATTTTATTTTCTTTCCCTTCCCATTAGCCAAGTTGTTAACCTGCTGTCCCAGCTTCATAAGATCTACCAGCACACACACACAGCCTCTCTTCTTTTCCTCTGAATTTGCTGGGAAGTTTGTCACCAACTCCAGTTTCAGGATTATTTGATTTCAAACTGAAAACCACAACCGAGCAGCACATGGAGGAACTCACATCCCAGGTTCAGCTTCTCATCAGGACGGCGTGGATTCTTCCCTTAATTCTATAGCAGGAGGTTGGAACTAGATGATCTTAAAGGTCTCTTTCAACCAAAACCATTCTACAATTTTCTGTGATTTTTTTTTATCATTGCAAGTAAGCTAGAAGTACCAGTACATTATCTGCCAGTACTTTTTTTCAAAGGTGTCTGTTTCTTGCAATTGTGATTTAAACTAAACTGCAATATTGACATCTTTCAAAGACAGAATTTGCAAAAAATCTGACCAAACAAGGCTGCTGAAAGCCAGCAGGAGTACACACACTGCTTGAGCACGTTACCAACACAGATAGTTAAAAAACTGTACAGATGAGAAACATGATTGGAATTTCGTCAACACTGAGAAAGTTTAGTTCTGGCACAATGGCCATAGGATCTGCCCCTCAACCGCATATCGCATTCCCCCACATTTAACACTACAGGATCACTTTTCAGAAAATTCAGTCTTTCCTTTTGGCACATAATGTTTTGTAAAAGCTCAGCACATTTCTTGGCTGTCTGTCTTAATTGCTCATAACGATTCTCAGCCAACAGTCAAATGCTTCTGAAAAATTAAAAAAAAAAAAAAGAAAAAAAAAAAAAAAACAAAGCTACTACATGCTAATTCTCCAGTCTGGCTTAATATTTCTAGTCAGTTCTCTCAATGTCAGGCGTTAGCCAATGAGAATATACACTGGCTTGAAGCCATCATCTTAAGTGTATTGCGACTGCAAGACACCAAGTAGCACATCTCAAAGGGAAAGAGCTGGGAAAACATGGATGTTTTCTGAAATCTATGTAGAATGTACTTGCACTTCTAAAAGCATACATTTATTTCAAAGAACATTCAAGAGAGCAAAAATTCGTTAGTTTTATTTTCTGTAGGAAACAAATTATTTATCTGATCAACATGCAGATAGTCAGATATAAAAATGTAAACGTGCTATATTTGAAAGCTACTCTAGGTATATATAGATTGCATCTCCAATAATTTCTCGCATCCGTAAAATTCTGTTTTACTCATACACAGCTCATGGGAGGGGGGAACTTTCCAAAGAAAGTCAAAGACACAAAGAACATGTACGTTTCCACAGTGGTTTACTTCTCAGATGACCTCTGGGCAACAAGATTTCTGAAACTTCCACAAAGACCAAAGGCACTTCAAACATCCACGTTGCTTCTTATGTTGTACACAGGCTTACATACTCATAGCTTTTTTGTCTTTTTTTTTTTTTTTAAGTTTTTTTTTAAGTATACGTTTGTCTAAATTTTAACTGATCTGAAACTTCTTTCATCCATTTAATTGGATGAGTCTTCTACACCATCTCTCTCCATACTGTGTGTCCCTTGCCAGGGAATGAATAAAATGGGAGCCATAGAAATGGCTTTTTTTCTGTTTGTAAACTGGAATGTCAAATGACTAAATACTCACTTGCTCGCATCATTTACTAAGGTACACATTTCTTTCAGGCTTACATTATTTTATAGGTTATCATTAATTGTCACAGTTAGCAGACTGATTTCATTGATCACCTGCATATTTAACACTGTGTCATGACCACCACTTGGCCATTTCCAAATATTGGTCACCTCCTAACTTCAGGAGGGTCAGAGTCAATGGCCAGGACTGAAAAACTTTCTAGTCAGGTGTTCCAGATGGATGATTATCTTCAGGCTCATTGTAAAGATCACTGTATTTCTTATCTTCATTTTGCAGTCTCACTAAAATCTATCTTTAGGAGACACAAGAACAGCTTAGATGGAAAAAAAATAAATACAGTCTTGCAAAGATACTGAAACAATCAACAGAGACAGATGGTTTCCAACATTTGGGCTGAACACTTGCATCCCTACACAGCACTGCTATGGTACTGGTTGGGACCAGAAATCTTGCAAGTTTTTTGGGGTTTTTTATGTGTTTTTTTTTTTTTTAACTGTAAGGTAGAAATAAATAATATCATCATCACATACACTCTCCAAGTGGAACAGATTCTGTTAATCCTTTGCATAATTTCTTTTCTTCCCAAGTACAAACTTTGTTTCCAAAGCTATGCTGCCTTAGGCAAACAGACAGATTTCCAGCTGTGAAAACTCATTTTTATCTCTTTAAGAACACATGCTAGTGCAAATTTATCAGATATGTAGGCTAAATACAGTTACTCTTTACTTAGATTATGCTAAAACATACACAATTTAGAAAAGATAGATAAACAACATACTTATGTCTCCCTCTGCCTCAGTATCTTCACCCCTTTTTCACAGAGAAATGCCCAAAGAGAAAACTTGGAGTTAACAGAATATGGCAAGACTCCTTTTTCTCTGACCCACAACTCTGTTCACTCCTCTGCCACACATCAGTGTCTTGGGATGCAGACCCATCCCACAAGCTAAAGGATGCCCTGTTCTGCAAAAGTATGCTCCCCTGCTTCACCCCTGCCCAAAACTTACTCTGAAAAACCCTGGAGCCTTTTCATACCTGGTAACAATGCCTGAATCCTTTGTTGGGAGAGACATTTATGAGTTTCAGCATTCTTCCCTGTGCAGTTCAGCACAGTTCTTTAAGCTTCCATCAGTCCATGATATGAAGGATCTTTCCAGAAATAAGCAAAATGACCATTGTGCAAGATACATCATTGATTCCAGCAGGATATTTCCCAAGCAGGGAAATGATTGCTCAGTGAATCCCCCAGAGTCAGTTAATTAACAGCTCCAGAAATTGGTCTGTTAAGTGGTCTATCCCTTAAAGCATGATTTTATACAATGGATCAGTCTCAGGCTGTCTCACAGCACTTTGAAAAATCTTTAGCTTTAGCATCTGTCTGACCACACTTTGTGCATCCCAGTTCCTCACTGGCACATTCTCCCTGTCTCTGCCTGCAGAAGTTCACCTGAACCAAAGCAGCCCGACCAGCGAGCTCCCCAGCTACAGTGAGAATGGCAGTGATGCCAGTTTACTTGTTTCTCCCCTTCTGGTGGCTGGAGTAGTGATCGGACTTGTGCTGTTTCTGTCCTGTGTCACCATCATTGTTGGCAGCCTGCGGAAGGACGGACGGCTGAGACACCCGCACCAGAGGAGAGACACTGCTTATGGTAAGAAGGCAGCTGAAGTGAAACAGTTCTTGGCATTATTAATATCTGCAGGCAACAATAGGGCAACAAAGGGCAACAAAGAGTTTGGACGCTGTGCAAGGGATATAAAAACAAAATGAGTAAAAACTTATGAGGCGTTGATAAGAGGCAGCTTTGCAGTTCAATAGCATCTTCACAAAGTAGAAGCCCCACAGCTGGGGGCTGACATGAACAAGGCCTACAGCATCTCTTGAACGGCGTATTTTCCCTGACACAATGCATGAGTCACCAGACTACTGATAATTTATTTTCATATCGCCTTGCAGCCCTTGTGTATAGTACATGTTGTGATTTCTTCTTGTTGGACAGCCAGGAATCTTTCACTTCTGCAGTGTGCACTAAGCTACAACACTCACTTGGCAATTAACTTTTTTCTTAGCACAGAAGTTAAAACTGGATGTAAAGAAAATGGGGCATCAAAATGCCATTACACAGACAACTGTCAACATCATTAAAGACACTGTTTTACTATCAAAAAAGTCCTCTTTTTTTTTTTTTTTTTTTTTTTTTTTTTTTTTTCCCCCTGTTCTTTAAAAGGACTTGGAAGTGCAAAGGTGTAGTTTTAGAATTACATCTTTGGCCAATTTGGCGCTTGCTGATCAGAAATCAAAAGCCACTTGATCAAGAAAATTACACAGTTTGATTCTTCATATATTTAAGAGAAAAACAATTACAAAAATCTACTTTTTAAG